AGAAAAGTAGAAGAGAAAAAATAAGAAGAAAGAAGATGTAGATGTACGAAAGGATAGGAAAGTCGTGAAACACTGTGTTTTTCTAATGATTTGGGGCTCCAGAGGGTCGAAAAATAGGCTCGTTAAAGCGGCGGGTGCGGAGCCATCTGGCCAGAGGAAAGATTAAAAGTTACACGCCGTTGTGGTACGAAATACATTTGGAAAAATATATGTGCAAAACATCTCAGCTCCGGACCACTTTTGGAAGTTGAAATGTCGAAAAAGTGTACGCCGTTGTGGCGCGAAACATATTTGGAAGTTAAAATTTACAAAACATACCAGGTCCGGACCACTTTTGGAAGTTGAGATGTCGCAAAAGTACATGCCATTGTGGCGCGAAGTACATTTCCAAGTCAAAATGCACAAAACACACCATTGTCGGACCACTTTTGGAAGTTCAGATGTCGAAAAAGGGTACGTCGTTGTGGCACGAAGTACATTTCGAAATCAAAATATTTAAAATACCACATGTTCGCGCTACTTTTGGAGGTTCGGATGTCGAAAAAGTGCACGCCGTTGTGGCGCGAAGGACATTTCGAAGTAAAAATGTTCAAAACACTAGGGTTCGGATCAATTTTGGAGGTTCAGATGTCGCTTCGCATCACTATACTACATTACAGGACATTACATTACACCACACTCCAGTACACTACATTACACTAAAGATAGACAGATAGACAGCTAGACACATAGATAGATGGATAGATAGACAGATAGACAGCTAGACAGATAGACAGATAAAAGAAAGAGAGAGATAGATAGATAGATAGATAAATAGATAGATAGATAGATAGAAAGATAAACAGATAGATAGATAGATAATTAGATAATTAGATGAAAGAAAGAGAGAGATAGATCGATAGATACATAGAATAGATACATAGATACACAGATACATAGATAGATAGTTAAAGAAAGAGGGAAAGAAAGAGAGGAGACCTCAAGCACCTTTCGGTCCATCAGTGGCTTCGCTCTGCTATCCCTTATTTACAACAACCAAGCTCTCCTATAGTTTTCCTATTTTTGAAACTTCCGCCACCGCCTTGTGCGGTACTACTGGTAAATCTTTATCTCTTTTTTTGGGTAATTGTTAGTTTTGTTCGGATTCGATCTTTAGTGGAATACGGAGGTATTGTTGGGAACTTTCTGTTATTTTCGGTTCTTTGCCTGCCCATTAATTTCCTTGGCGTGGCGATTTTACTTACCACCTCGAGCGGTCACCCTTTCGGCTGCCCTCCCCTATTACCTCCCCGGTTGCGTTCCGCCGGCGCCGTTACGGTTACGTATATACGGGAGGATGGAGGCCTGCTCCCGTCCTACTCCGCCGGCCTCCGGCCTACCTGAATCTGCTTTTACTCGGCCCCTTATGGCCTTCGCCGGTGGAATGACGCCTGTCCGCCACCGACCCTCCATGACCATCTCCTTTCGGAGGTTTGGGGAGCGGCCGCTAATCTGGCCATCTAACTTTGTGGGGGGGATGGCATGTTATTTTTTTAAGGCTGCGCTAATCCTCCCCCTCTCCTTGGTCCGCCGTTTTTTTAAGACTGCACCGGGAGGAGCACTTTTTTCTGGTACGCCCCTCTTTTAAGGCGGAACAATATCCATATTATCGGAAATTAAAAAAAAAATCCGAATTTTGGGCGGCTGCAGCACAGCGGACTGCACCGGCGGCGGAGGACCGAAATATTATATTTTAAAATATTGTTAAGGATATCGGGAAGGATTTAAAGGCAAATTAGTGTCTATCGTCCCTTTCTGAAGCCATTGGAAAATTTCTTTGAAAGCGCCCGGCAGATGGCCAAAGTTGTTGCGCTGGGCGGCCGGAAGGCTGCAAAAGCCGCCGGAGGACCGGGATGCTACCTATCAAAATGTTGGTAAGGGCGCCGGGAAGGATTTAAAGCTAGGCTTGTACCTAACGGACAGATGACCAAAATTTTGCCGTTATAAGGCTGTAAAAGGCACCGGAGGATCGGGAGGTTGTTGATCAAAGGATTGTAAACGGCTCTGGGAATCATTTAAAGCCAGGCCAGACACCAAAGAATTACAAATGGCACCGGGAAGCATTGAAAGCCAGGCCAGGCGCCAAAGGATTGTAAACCATCTCGGGAAGCATTGAAAAACCAGACCAGGTGCTATTACAAAAGGCCTTAAGAATATTTTGTCTCGAACGCGCTTGCGGTTAAGCGGGGGTCAGCGGATATAATTTATATATAAATTAATTTTCTTATATAAAATAATA